AGGGGCCATGAAGGAAGCAGGAAATCAGTGATTCTCTCTCATCATTGATGGTTCTGTCTCTCTTTCCATATCCCTTCCTCTCTCTGAAATCAATAAAAACATATTAAAAAATAAAGCCACTGTTTGGTTATTGATTTTCTGTCTGGAAGATCTGTACATTAATGAAAATGTATAGATCTTCTATGACTGTATTACTGTCAATCTCTCCTTTTATATCCATCAATATTTGCTTTACATGTGCATTTAGGTGCTCCTATGTTGGGTTCATGAATGTTTACAAGGGTTATATCCTCTGGTTGGATTGATCCTGTTATCATTATGAAATGTTCTTCTTTGTCTTTTATTATAACCTTTGTTTTAAAATCGATTTTATCTGGTAGAAGTATTGCTATCCCAGCTTTCAGTTAGTTTGTTTAATGAAATATCTCTTTGATGTCTTTACTTTTGGTCTGTGTTTTTCCATCTGAAGTCAGTCTTTTGTAGATAGAGTATATAAGGGTCTTCTTTTCTCACCCATTCAGCTACCCTATGACTTTTGATTGGAGCATTTAATGCATTTACATTTAAAGTGAATATCAATAGGTATGTAGTTTTTACCATTTTATTATTAAGATTTATGTCTTTTCTCCCTTATTTTTAAAAAAGAGTTTCCTTTAACATATCTTGTAATACTAATTTGTCAGTGACTAACTGCTTTAGTGTTTTCTTGTCTAGGAAGCTCTTTACCACCCCTTCTATTTTATGATAGCCTTGCTGGGTAGAGAAGTATTGGTTGCAGGTTCTTGCTTTTCACCACTTTGAATATTTCATGCCAATCTTTTCTGTCATGAAAAGTTTCTGTTCAGAGATCAGCTGACAGTCTTATGAGAGCTCCTTTGTAGGTAACTATTTTTCTTTTGGTGCTTTTAAGACTTTCTCTTTATCTTTAACCTTTGCCTTTTTAGTGATGTGTTCTGGCGTGGGCCTCTTTGGGTTCATCCTGATTAGGGCGCTGTACTTTCTGGACTTCTGTGTCTATTTCCTTTGCCAGGTTGGATAAGTTTTCACTCATGATTTCTTAAAATAGGTTTCCATTTCTAAAAATTATTTTTATTTCTTAATCCTCACCTGAGGAGTGAGGACATTTTTTTCCATTGATTTTTAGAGAGTGGAAGAGAGGGAGGGTGAGGGAGAGGCTAGAAGATGGGAGGGAGAGAGAGATCAAAAGAGAGAGAGGGAGAGAGAAACATGGATATGAGAGACCCACATCAATTGGTTGCTGCCTGCATGTGCCATAATCAGGGCAGGGAAGTGTCATTGTTTGAAATCAAACCCAAGACCCTCTTACCACCGAGCAACACTGGCCAGGACTTAAAATAAGTTTGCGATTCTTCACTCTTATTCTTTTCTCTCTGGTATCCCTATCATGCAAATGTTATGACACTTGAAGTTGTCCCCAAGGCCAAGTTTTTTGGATTCTTTTTTTTCCCTGTTTCAATTCATTATATTCTGGCTCCTTGTCTTCCAAATTGTTCATGTGATTCTCTGCTTTATCTATTCTGCTGTTGATTCCATCTAATATATTCTTCATTTCAGTTATTGTATTCTTCATTTCTGACTGGATTATTTTATGGTTTCTATGTCCTTTTTCTACTTCTACTATCTTTTTGTTAAAGTTATCACTAAGTTACTTGAGCATCCTTATAAACAGTATGTTGACCTTTGTATCTGGTAGATTGCTTGCCTCCATTCTGTATAGATTTGTTTCTGAATTTTTGTCCTGTTCTTCTAATTAGAACATGTTTCTTTGTCTCCTCATTTTGGCTGCTTCTCAGCATTTGGTTCTATGTATTAGGTATATCTGCTCTCTCTCCCAGTCTTGGCAGGGTGACCTTATGTAGGTGTCCTGAGGCCTAGTGGCACAGTCTCCTGGTCACCTGAGGTAGATCCTCCAGAGGTGTCTCTGGTGTGGGTTGGTGTGCCTTTCTGTTCTGGTTGGGCTTTGATTATTGTTGCACATCCTTGAATGGGGTTGACCCTCATGCTGACTTACTGTGAATATGGCCACAACCACAGCACACCAGCAGCTGTGTGAGGTTGACCCCATAATGCCAGATTCACCCTAACAGGGCCTGTTCCCTGCTGAAACTGCTCTTCGGATATTCTCTTAGTGGAGCTAAAAGGGTGGTACTCTGTTGTAGTCTGAAGCCAGACACTGGGTGTGTTGGTTCTGTGGCCTCTTGGGAGGGGTTGCAGTGTAGGCCAAGGACCAACACTACCTGCTAGGAGTTACAAAGTGACCTGTGGCTGGCAGCTATCTCTGCTTGGCCTGGGGCACATGGGAGAGGCCATGCTGCAAACCAAGGCTAGCCACTCCCAGTCCCAGGCCTGAGATTGGTCAGCAATAGGCACAGGGCACCCTGAGTCATGCTGCCACCTGGTGGCTACCTGGGAGGCTCAGCCGCTGAAAGAGCGTTGGATGAGGTGGGGTATCAGGGAGTCATCAGGTTGGCACAAGTCGTGTTCACCAGGCTTATACACATTTATATCTGGCTGTATGGGTGAGGGCATGACATATGAAAGTGGCAGCTATCCCTCCAGCTCTCATCATGAAGCAACACAACTCAGGTTTTCCCTGAACATGAGTGGCACCCCCTGAGCCCCAGTACCTCTCAGAAGCCTAGGGTGAGTGTCCAAGTGAGTCTGTGCTGGCCCTTTAAGACGAATACCTGGGACTCCATCAGCCCTCTGTCTCACCCAGTGGGATGCAATCTCTTCTGATTTTCACAGCCTGATGTTGTGAGGGCTCCTCTTCCCGGCACTGATTTGTCCCCCTTCCTTGAGGATTGTTTTTGTTATTCATTGTGGGTTATAGTTCATTTTTTAGTGACTTTTCTAAACTTATTTTTAATAGATTCTATTCTATGTGTTCACTGAAGTCTGTGTTCTGGTAGTGTGTTGATCAGCTGGAGATTTGACAGATATTTTTTTAAAATGTCTGAAGAAAAAAAGAAAGTAGAAAACATCTCTCAGTTTTGCAGCTGGCGTGTGTGTGTGTGTGTGTGTGTGTGTGTGTGTGTGTTTGCACAAGTGTGTGAATTGGGGCACATCTTCAACCCTCATCTGTGCAGTTTACATGTCTTGCCTTTGCCATAACTTCTTGCCAGTGTAGATATTGAAAATCAGCCAGAGGTGTGATCTCATGGCCTTCTCAGGTGATCTCTGATCATGTCCCTAGACGTGGGCATGCACATGGACTTCTACATTCCCAGGGAGATGTGTACGTCTGCACAGCCCTATTGCCCATGGCACCTCACTTCCCAGCTCCTCCTCCCAGGATCATCTCAATGCCTATTAATTGCCCCAGCAGATGTTTTTTCCCAGAGTGACAGCAGGTCATTTATTGGCATTTAAATAGTTTTGGCAAATAGTCTTTGCCTTACTTCATTCTCCCTGACAGAGTTCTGAGTTAGGGGAAATAAAGATCAGCTACTTACAGTCCTCCTGCAAGGAGCCACCTGACAGATCAGAACAGAAAGTCACAATTATTTGACAACGTCTACCCTGCTTCCTCTGGCACCAAGAATCCACTCTAGTGGAACTATCTTCTGGGTCCCAGCTCAGCTGGGAAGGGAAATGGGCCAAGGGTAACCACGACAGTACTGAGCTGTCCTATTCAGTTTCTGATGCCTGCTTCTTTCTTTAGCATTTTCTTGGGATCTATAAATCCTCCATGGTTTTCCACAGTTCTGGGATAGTTTTTGCTAGTTTTTTCATTTTTCTATGTAAGGATGGGGCTTTGAAGTTGCCTACACCACCATTTTCTCTGATGTCACTCCATTCAGCCTCTTTTAAATTCTCCTTACTCATCACAATTCCTGGTCTTCTAAGGACTTCCAAGAAACTCATTCATTTAGTAACATTGACTAAATACCTACTCTATTCAGGGTACTGTGGTATAAAGAATGACATTTGAATAAAAACAATCAAGCTCTCTCACCCATCAAGGTTGTCACAGCCTAGGTATGGGTGGGAAGATAAATAAATTATAATACAACATGGTAATATCTTTATCTTTTGTTCTGTAATTTAACCTGACATTAGTAATATTCTATAAACAGTATTGATATATATGGATGCCTCATTACAAGTTGATTTATTTGCTTTCCTTCTTTCTCATATATTTCTATAACATTGTAAATATATTCAGAGTAGGTATTTTGGTAATAAATCAAATTATACATATACAGAAGTCTTTTTTTTACTCTTATACTTGAAAGATTGATTTCCCAGTCCTGAATCCCTACTTTGGTATTGGACTTCACTCAGTCTGTTATGAGGATACTTCACTGTCCTCAGGCTGCTGCTCCTGACAGGGGGCAGTGAGCCACATTCTATCTGAAGGTCCTTTCTAGTTGATCTGTTTTTCCTCTGTGGTTACTTTAAGATCATCATCTGCCTTTATGTCTGATGTTCCAGTGAAATGTGAATCTATGTGGATCTCTTGTTATTCATAGTGCTCTGTACACATTTGCTTATCCTTAGCCATAATCTCTTCACACAGTGCCTCCCTGCATGCTCTCTCTTTTCACCTCTGGGACTCTAACTAGACTCATGTCAAACCTCTTCATTCGATCACCACATATGCTGTGGTAGGCAGAATGATGGCCACACAAATATGTCCCAGACCTAATCCCTGGAACCTGTGACGATGTTAAATGCACAGCTAAAGAGACTGTGCAGGTGTAATTAAAGGTATGGACCATGGAATCAAGAGATTATCCTGATACCTTGGTCCTTAAAGGGAACATGACTGAAGAAGTGTGGGTCAGCCCTGACCGGTTTGGCTCAGTGGACAGAGCGTCAACCTGAGGACTGAAGGGTCCCAAGTTCGATTCCAGTCAAGGGCATGTACCTTAGTTGCAGGCATATCCCCAGTAGGGGGCGTGCAGGAGACAGCTGATCCATGTTTCTCTCTCATCAGTGTTTCTAACCCTCTATCCCTTTTCCCTTCCTCTCTGTAAAAAAATCAATAAAATATATTTTAAAAAAAATAAAGGTGGGTCAGATGGAGCATTGATTTCATCTGGAGTAGTTTCTACAGCATCTTCCCTGGATTTCGTTAAGAGATTTACAATTTGATTTTTGTTGCATTCCTGGGCTGCCTAACTTGGTCAAGATACTTAATTGCTTCTCACTACATTGATAGTCTACTATATTTTCTCAGGATTTTCACATGCCCTTTCTTAAATATGATTTTCATATTATCTTCCTTATTTCTTCCCTAATTGGAGCTGGGATCAAGGTTATTCATGCCTAATAATTGAGTTGTTTGGCTTTCCCTATATTTCTTCATTCTTCTAAATATTTCATAGAAGATCAGGAGTGTTTCTTGAAGGTTTAGTAGAACTTTCCTGTAGAAGATACTGGAGAAAAAAAATTGCCCAAGGCCAATGTGCATCCCTCTTTTTGCTTTTAGTTACCTAAAGAATGGATATGGATATGGTTGAAGGGAGGTAAATATTTTACAACCGCTTTCACTTTTTTCTTTGCAGTCTCTTCCATTAACAAATTTTTTTATAGTTTTAAGATTGGTTACCTCTCTCCTATATCTGCAGTGACATATTTATCTAAGACAACTCTGTTTTGTTCATAATTAATTTCACTTATTTTATTTCTCTTTTCAGGGAACAAGCTGCTCTCAGCAGGCTGTGCAATCAGCAGTGCAGCCACAGCTCAGCCTGGGTGAGTGGAGGCTGCGTTGCTGAGCCCATGCAGGCTCCATCCCAGTTTCACATTGTTCAGGGACTCCATGAGCAAGCCCTGTGGTGGGGGGAGAGGCTAAGTGACACATCCATCAAGGTCTCTCCCCAACCCAGGTGCAAGCAGCCCCACCACACAGATCCCCTCAGCTGGGCATCCCCTTGTACAGCAGTATCTCTACCCATAGCAAGAGGTCATGAACACAACTCCCCTCCACCTCTCAGTTTCCAGGTTAGTTTTCCTCAAGTTCCTGCCCGGCCAGCCAACCCATTGGCCCATGTCCATGAGTCTCTCATGCACGACTCACAGCATCTCTCACACTCCCAGGGGCCTGTTGGGGTTTTGATTTCTAATCCTGGCTTGACAGCCATTCCCACAGCTGTTCAGGAGTGAGCTCCCAGGATCACTGCTCCTGCCTTACATTCTCTTCTAAAAATATTTCCATAAGAATAATCCTACTTTGGCTGAAAGAGAATTATTTCACAAATCCAGGAATGTCTACTGTCATGAAGGACCACCACTGAGAGAGGTGGACAATCCTAAGTGTACAGGGGATTTTCACAGTGAATGTTGGGATAAACGGCACCCACGGATCAAGTCCAGCACCCCAGCAAGCCCTGTTAAATCTTAGTCATAAACTCCCCACCCCATCCCGAGTAATGACTACCTTGATTTCTACCACCACACATGAGTTCTGTCCGTTTTTGAGGGAATGGACTATTACAGTGGACACCCCTCTCTGCCTGGCTCTCACTCAACATTATGAGTCTCATCCCTATGGCTGTGTGGGGCTGTAGTTTATTCACTCTCATGGGTATAAGGGGCTCCATCATAAGAACAGACCACACTTCCTGTCCTCTACTGCTCATGGGCATGTGTTGAGCCCAGATTTTACAAATCGTGCTGCCATAAATAATTTCTTCATAAGTTTTGGCACACAGATCATGCATGTCTACTGGGTATATAACTACGAGTGGAAATGCTGATCATATTGTTAGCAAATGTTTGGGTGTAGTATTTTTCAAAGTATTGGAATCAACTTACTGATCTCAATATATTGTAATCTCAATATATGAGACGGAATTAGTCCCAATGATTGCCAATAGCTGATATTTTCTGACTTTAATTTTAGCCATTCTGGGAGTGTGCAGTGAAAGCAGATTATGGCCTAATTTGAATTTGCGCTCTGACTAAAAATGCTGGACAATTTCCATTAATTTATTGGCCATGTAAATATTAACAGGATGGAGTAGTCTTATTGTTAATGACTGAATGGGACTCTAGTAATGTGCCAGCATCTTTTAACTATTAGGATCCTTTTGTTATGAATGGATGTGCGGTCAAAGATCTGCAATATAATCCCAAATATTTGATCTTTGCCCCTAGTTCCTGACACAGCACTCCTAAATCTCTTGGGATCTCCTAAGTGACAGGAGTGTCTTTGGGACGCTAATGAGATGGCTCTTGGCTGAGGGTCCTGGGTAGCTTCAGGCTGAGACTGGCTGCCAGAAAGACCAAGCTTGATCAGAGGGCTGGAACTTTCAGCCTCACTCCTAACCTCTGGGGAGAACGGCTGGCATTCTGATTCAATGATTTAATCAATCAGATCTACAGAGTGAAAGCTCCATCAAAAGCCCTTAACAATGGGTTTCAGGGAGCTGCTGAGCGAGTGAACACATCCACATGCTGGAGGAAGGGGTGACACATTCCAGCTCCATGTGACAGAGGCTCCTGCACTCGGGACCCTTCCCCACCTGGCCCAGGTACCTCTTCCTCTGGCTGCTCACTTGTACCCGTTATAATAAACTGAACAGTAAGCACAGCATTTTCCAGAGTTCTAGGAGTTGCTTTAGCAAATTAATGAACTTTGTAGAAGAGTCAGACAGAAGGACAGGTAACAGGGGGCTTGAACCTCAAACCTTTATCAGAAGTGAGGGCAGTCTCATGGGACAGAGCCCTGAGAATGTGGGGTCTGATGCAAACTCTGGGTAGTTCTCCTCAGAATTGAGGTGAATTGTCGGAAACAGTCGGTGTCCCAGAATGCGAGAACTCAGTGAAGGCAATCTCTCACCATCCCACAAAGAAATTCAGAGTCAGAGCAAGCAGGTAGCCCTCTGGAAGGGATGTCATTTATTGGCACTTGTTCTTCCAGCCAAACCTAAGTGCCTACGACGTCCCGACCTTCCAGTCTTAGATCTTTGCTCCAAGTTTGAAAATTTTCATCCTTATCTGTCCCTCCCTGCCGGGAGCCGGTCCATCCTTGCTGTTTCAAGGGACCTGGCATATATGGCATACTGTTCTTAATATGTTTGCTCACCTTCTTGGCACTATGTGTTTTAACCAAGGTCACCTCTCCGAGAAAGGTTGTTTCCCCAGGTAAGGATTTTTCCCTGAAGTTAGGGAGGGAATAAAACTCCTTAACTAAGTGCCAGGCGGGTAATCACTTTAACTACGAACAATCATGCTTAAGCTACATAATCTTTACTCCTGGAATGGAGATAAGAAACGCCCTAACCTTTGGAATAGAGATTGATAGGATTGGAATCAACTGGTATAAATACAGATGTAGCAAGACAACAGGACACAGAACCTAGACACAGAACCTAGAGACAGAACATGGCAAAAGATCCTGGACAGAAACTGGCAACAGAACCTAGAGACAGAACCTAGGGAGAGAACCTGACTGAGGATCCTAGAGACAGAACCTGGCTACAGAACCTGGATAGAACATGGCAAGAGAACCTGACTAGAACCTGGTGACTGAACCTGGCTGGAGAACCTACAGAACCTGGCAAGAGAACCAGGCAAGAGAACCCAACCATGCTGATCAACTGAACGCTGCCTCTGTGTCATTCCTTCTTTGCCGACTCCGTCCACACCTTTGGGGACCCCTGGACCCGCTGGGGTTGGAGCCCAGCACCTCCCCCCAGCACCTGAATTCTCTTCCTACATGAGGAGAATTCGACACATAAAGAGACTTGGTGGGAAACAGAGACTATGTCCTTCCATAAAAGAGGGAAACCCACATCCTCCAACCTTCGTGTGTCTGGACATGGCATGAAGCTCCACCTACCTGACTCGGGACGTGGTGATGCAGAGGCTGGGACTGTGCAGGCTGCGTTTGGTAAGGGTGCCAGGAGAGGCAGTAACAGTGTCAGGTGCCAGGAGCAGCAGTGGTGGCAGTCCTAGCACAGGGCCCAGGGTCCAGCTTCAGGGGTCAGTGGTGTGAGCAGTGGCATCCGTGTCCAGCAGCAGGGCAGTGGCTCTTGTGTGGGGCCTGACCTGGGCTGAATGTGGATCAGTTTCTGGCTGTGTGACTTCAAGCCTGTGGTTTTCCCTAAAATACTATTAGACCCCAATATCATATATATATATATATATATATATATGCTACTTTATGTCTAAATTAGAATAGATAGGGATTCCATTGTTTGCTCCAAGAACTATATCTGGGGAACAGTTTCAGAGAGCAAGCCTTCAGAGATGTTATTGGGACCCAGGGCCCATGTCCTAGCTCTTCCACCTGACTCTACCCCATGGCAGAGAGAACGACACGTAACTCCCATCATGTTTCATAACTGGTGATAAATGCCCTCCTTTTTCTTTCTGAGGAAAAATGAAACCTTTAAATGTGGACGTAAAACCCCTCCCCATCCTGAGCTCTGGCACTGGCCTCAGTGGTTCCCAGGCTGGCTGAGCCCAGGATTCCTTGTGAGCTTCTTACAAAACCCCCAGCCTCTCCCAGACCCACAGACCCAGAGAATTAGGCACAGACAGGAACCACCTGTGTAACACCTGCAGGCGAGGCTGACACACAGACATGGGGATCCTGGTCTGGGTTCTCGCTGCTCACTGTGTGATCTGAAGACCAGCAGCATCAGCACCTTGGGATAGAGCCAGCCTCTCACACTCTGCTCCTGACATCCTGAGCCAACAAGAGGTCCAGGTGGTTCCTGTGCACAGGAACGCTGGGGGCTCCATGGTGCCTGTGCCTTCTAGACCTGGAGACAGAACAGTGCAGTTGGCTCTGGTGTGTGGTCTGATCAGATGGCTCAGCACTGGATCCTGGGTTTAGTCCTTCTTCCTTGGTCTACCGTTGCCATCAGTCCCTTGGTGACCTTGTCCGTTCTCAAGGCTAAAATGTCATTTATGTCTCACCTCCTTTTGTCTGTTTCTCCTTCTGACATCTCTCCTGATCCCCAGAATTGTCTGTCCAACTGCCAATCTGATGAACAAGCGAAGCCCTCGCTGCCCATGGTCCTGGAGATGTTCTTTATTAGGACGATTTACAAGGACTGGTGATGTTTGAGTCCCTGTGATGGCAGGTCCTGGTCTGACAAGGTTCTACTGGAAAGAAAAGGACAAAGGAGCAGAGAGGTGTCCCAGCCAAAGAGTGACCAGGTCAAAGCCAGGAAGCACTGGGCACAGCCCTGACCACACCTGCGTCTCACAGCCAATCCTGTCCCCACATGCAACAGACTCAGCACAGCAAGCACACGGGATCTGACAAGTACTTGGTACTCACAAATTTTAGGACCTTCTTTAATTTTTAAAATATGTTTTTATTGATTTTCAGAGCGGAAGAGAAAGGGGGAGACAGAAACATCAATGATGAGAGAGAATCATCCATCAGCTGCCTCTTGCATGCTCGCTACTGGGAACCACGCTGAAACCCGGGCATGTGCCCTAACAGGGAATCCAATCATGAACTCTTGGTTCATGGTTGTGTGGACGAAAGGGGCCACATGCTGACCTGACAAGCTCAGGGGAGGCCTGCATAGCAGTTTTGCAGACCCAGAGACCTAAAGTAACCACAAAGGATGGTCTGAAATTAAACTTTAACTAAAAGCAGTTATGGTGGGCAGTTACGTCCTAGGCCAGTTCTTCACTGATAAGGTCAAGTGAGCCCATCTGTCTTTTTGCATCTATGATAACATATCCTTGGGATGTCTGGGTAACTTGTGACTTCCCTTTTTATGGAGTCCCTGGGGCACAGCCAGGTGTGCCAGGCCCAGGACAGATGGCCCAGGACAGATGCCACAAATTCCTTCGTCATCATGTTAATTGTTCCTGCACCCACCTAAGTATGTGTCCATCATTTTACTTTGTATCCAATCCCAGGGGTTTCCCTGCTTTGCTTATCCCTCCTCCTTAATCTGTCACCAATGAATTTCATGTAACCCACCTATGTCCCTCCTTTGATTGCAAAGTATAAATATGGATGTAACCCCGCCATTCTCCAGAGCATTATCTCAATTCGTTGAGGTCCTGCTTCCCGGCATATGTCGACAGTTTGGCTCAAATAAACTCACAAAAATTCTTTAGAGGTTTCAATGTTTTTTTTTTTACGTTAACAGTTGGATGCTCAACCACTGAGCAATACCAGCCAGGCTTTTCTCCGTTAATGAACCCATCAGCCCTTTATGGCAAAAAGTGTGTGTGTGGGGGGGGGGGGGGGGAAGCTCATATCCAGACTTACTAGTATTTCAATCAGTGTGAGAAACTGCCTATTGTCTTCTCTAGCAGAGAGGGAGGTGTGGACATGGAGCCCAGAATGCTGGTGACCCTTGAAGCCCTGGCAAAGGTCAGGGCTATACACCCACTGTTTAGTTGAGACAATGGTAGCTGAAGCAATGTCTCCACCAGATAGTCATGTAAATCCTTACTGATAAGATAGTCTGCCTGTTACTGGAACTTGCCTGCCTAAGGGCTATAGGTGTATCCCAAACTGAATAAAAGGATGGCAAGGCCTGAGCACAAGCGGAGCCCATCCTCTTGGGATGGGCTCTTGCCTGGCCCCCCCAATTTCCAAATTATCTCTTGTCTCGTCTCTTTCATTTGTGTGCGGCCCCTCTTCCAGATCCTGAACCCTGAACCATGCAGGACGTGGGGGAACATTCACAAATCAGGAAGTAAGAAGTTGCAGCCCAGCACACCAGGAAGTAAAGACAGGAAGTAAAGACAGAGGTTACACCCTGCCTCTGCTGTAACAATTAAGTGTGGGGAGGGGCGTGGTGGGCAGGGTGGACCAACATCCCACCTCCTCACAGGATGCTGATAGGAACACACACATTCTGATGCCCTTTGCAGAAAGAGATCAGATTTTCTTGAATTACAAAGTGGCAGCGAGAATAAATCTCCCATCACTCAGTCCCAGACAAGGAACCTGCCTCATGCTATGGAAGAAAATGATCATGAACAAATTCAGCTTAATAACGCACTGCAGGTTCAATATGACCCAAAGAATCCCCATCACCCAGTCCTGTCCCTTTTGCCCCAAGCTCTCCTATTCTCACCTTTAGAAGCCATGAGAGATACATCAGAGCCCCAGGAACTATCGCCGCCTGGGGTGGTCAGGGCCCCCAGGAGAGATTACGGGAGGAATTATAGGGGTGAGATCCCCCACGGGCTCCCCTCTGCACTGTCGCATGGTCTCAGGGGTCACCCCTCCATACTCACTGTCAGCCTGAGCATAGCTCCCCCCTTTTCCGTCTGTGGGAAGAAAACATCCTGTGAGAAGACTGGGAGGAGGCAGGGCCATGAGGTCCTAAAGGAACTCCTAGTCCTGGAGCCCAGATAAGTTTCTAGAACTGTGACTACAGACCCAGGGAAGGATCAGGAAACTTGAGGAAAGTACACGTGTGGGGACTGGACCAGCCACCATCTGGAGGTCTGTCCTCAGCAGGGACCTTCCACCCTGACCTGGGAGTGCTGGGAACCAGGCCCCATCACTAGAATCATCAAGGTGATGAATCTGTCCCTCATTTCCACACGTGTCTTACTCAAGAGTGAGTGTCAGCAAATAGGGCCCCACACTGGGCAAACACACGTGTGGGAATAAATGTACTTGCCCTTAATGAAGCAGAATACACTTCTACCTGGGCTTGCAACCCCCAGTGAGACGAGAAACTCAGGCCCCTCCCCTTCCCTATCTGAGTGCTTCCTCCTCCACATCACAGCTCCAGTGACCACAGCTCCAGTGACCACAGCTCCAGTGACCACAGCTCCAGTGACCACAGCTCCAAGGATGACCAGGCCAACAACAAGGCCCACAGGGGGTATGGTGACCCGAGGAGACGGCTCTGGGTAGGAAAGGGGAGGTGAGGGCCCTGACCCCCAGGCCTCAGCCCCGACCCCACTGACGTCCTCCACAGGCCCCTGCCTCCCTGAGACCAGGCTCTGTGCCCACGCCCCTCCTCACCACATCTCAGGGTCAGGGGCTCGGGCAGCCCCTCGTGCTGCACATGGCACGTGTATCTCTGCTCCTCTCCAGGGGGCACCACCAGGGCCGCCCACTTCTGGAAGGTCCCATCCCCCGCAGGCCTGGTCTCCACAAACTCCATGTCCTGGGTCTGCTCCTCCCCATCATGCTGCCAGCTCAGGCTGATCTCCGCAGGGTAGAAGCCCAGGGCCCAGCACCTCAGGGTGACCTCATGGTCAGAGATGGGGTGGTGGGTCACGTGTGTCTTTGGAGGGTCTGAGGAGAAGGGGAGGAAATTCAGGGACTTGGCACTGTCAGGGGAACCTCCAGCAGCCCTCATGTGACCACCTGAGCGTGGACAGGGCACCTGGGGTGGGCAAGGGAGCACACAGGCACCACCAGCCTGGACAGAGCACCTGGGGATGACCTCTCCTCTTTAGAAGGTTCTAGTCAGAGTGACACAGCCCAGGGCAGGAGGCAGGTCTCAGAGGGAGAAAGGGATTTCTGGTCCTGTCCTGGGCAGAGGCCAAAGGACTCAGAAGAGTGGGTGTCAGACCGCAGATACACTGGGGGAGGGGCAGGGAGCGGGGCCTGAGAGAGCAGGTGTCCCATGGGTCCCAGAGCCACTGCAGGGTCAATGGGAACCGCTGCTCAGTTCCTTCAGGCTTGGTCTCCCCTCTAATTGTCCCTGAGAGACTGCACCCCTAGGCGTCCCTGAGAGAAGGGTGGGCGTCACTGGATCTGAAAAGCCAGGCGGACTCAGTCTCCTGGTCCACAGGAGGGGGGTCTGACACTGACCCTGTGTCCTGTCTCCTTGTGGAGCCCCAGCCCCAGGGGAGAGGAGGGAGGCCCAGGCCCTGGTACCTGCTCCCTGCAGCGCCTCCTTCCCCATCGCCAGGAATCTGCGCAGCCACTCCGTGTAGTTCTCCTCCAGGAGGTTCCTGTATCGCTCAGTCACACCCGCCTCCTCCAACTTGCGCCGGGTGATCTGAGCTGCGGTGTCGGCCGCGGTCCAGGAGCGCAGGTCCTCGTTCAGGGCGATGCAGTCGGCGCCGTCGTAGGCGAACTGCTGATACCCGCGGAGGAGGCGGCCGTCCGGTCCCATGTCACAGCCCCACATCCCCTGGAGGGTGTGAGACCCTGACCTGCCCCGAGGTCAGTGTCGCCCACTGAGCCCCGCCTCCGACCCACCCGCGGGGATTAAACAGAAACTGAAAATAAAACCGGGTCCAAGTCCCCGCGGGCTCCTCCCCGGTGTGTGTATGGGGGGGCGGGGGCGGGATGGGGTGAACCTCGTACTCGGACACTCGGGGAGACCCCAGCCCTTCCTTGGGGATGGGGGTGGTGACCGGCCCCGATCACCGATGCTCACCGTCCTGGCTCTGGTTGTAGTAGCCGCGCAGGGTCTGCAAGTTCAGTCGGAAAATCTGTGCAGCGACCTTGGCGTTCCGGCTGCTCAGGTCCCAATAGCCCGGCTCCTCCTGCTCCATCCGCGGCGCCCGCGGCTCCGCCCTCTGACTCTCCGAGTCGCTGTCGAACCGCTCGAACTGCATGTCGTCCACGTAGCCGACCTCCAGGTACCGGGCCTCCCCGCGGCCGGGCCGGGACACGGCGGTGGAGAAATATCTCAGGGAGTGGGGGCCTGGGGGCGGGAGCGGAGGGGCTGACACCCGCCACCCTCCTCCCGGCGCGGGTTCTGGGTCCGGGGAAGGGGGGACAGGAGAGGGAAAGGGGCCCGGGAGACGGAACAGGGGCAGCGGGATGGAGAAGAGAGGGGTCAGGACGGGGTGGGGTCTGAGGTGTGGGTGGGGGTGGTGGAGACGCCCTTTCCCGGGGTCCTGCGCCCCCGCCGGGTGCCCTCGCACCTCCTCCCCAGAGGCCATTCCCTCCGGACCCCGCACTCACCCGCCCAGGTCTGGGTCAGGGCCAGGGCCCCCCAGAGCAGCAGGAGGAGGGTTGGGGGCCCCGTGAGCAGCATCCTCAGGTCTGGGGAGTCTGAGTACTGGTGAGTCCGCAGAGACTTCTAACTGGGAACGGAGGTGACCCTGATTGGCTTCTGTCGCACCTGCCACCCAATGGGAGTGAGAACTGGGGACACGTCACGAGTATCCAGGAAGGAGGGCCCCACACAGGTTGTGAGAGGGAGAAGTGAAACTGTGGGGAGGTGGGGACTCCCCAACACTGAGCTTCCCGCTTCAGTCTCCGCCCTGGGGCTGGGACCCTGAGACCAGGCCTGGGACCTGGGACCTTGCCCTGACCCCTCCCCCTGCACGGAGAGCTCTCTGTCACACCCTCGCCCTCAGTCCTGCCCAGGGGCTGTGTGAGAACCAGGGAGACTCCCCAGGCTGGGACCAGCCCTTTCCTCCCTTCTCCTCCTGGAACCTCTCTCCCTGGAATGCCCTCTGCCTCCCACCCTCACCTCTGCCCTGGA